CCAGAGTTCCTGAGCCAACATGACTGGAGGAGGACTTCTGGGAGTTGAAGTCCACAAGTCTTAAAGCTGTCAAGTTTGAACACCCCTGGAGTTTTTTTTTCTAAAGGGTTAGGGGTGCAAAAGGGTCTTGTAACTTGACAGCTTCAAGACTTGTGTGCTTCAAATGCCAGAGTTCCTGAGCCAACATTTTGGTTGCTAAGCAAGAGCGTTGTTAAATGAGTTTCACCACATTTTTCAAGTCAGCCACTCTCACCCAGTCACATGGCCGGCAAGCCACTCCCACCCAGTCACATGGCTGGCAAGCCACACCCACAAAGCAGGCCACACCTACAGAAGAGGTTCTAAAAAAATTTGAAACCTACCACTGCACAATTGTTAAGTGAGCCTGGATTCCCCATTGACTTCGATTGTCAGAAGGTCACAATGGATGATCACGTGACCCTAAGACACTGCAATCATCAAAAAAATATGAACCAGGTGCCAAGCATCCGAATATACTGCATATAAGGGATGCTGCAACAGTCGTAAGTGCCAAAAAAATGGTTATGTCCCTTTTTTCAGTAACTTCAAACAGTCACTAAATGAACTGTGTAAGTTGAGGATTACCTAATCTGACATTAGACAGGGATAGACAGCCAAGTACCATGATGGCGCTCATGCCACAGGTGGCACACAGCGCCCTCTCTGATAGCATATGAGCCATTGCCCCAATTCAGCTCCAACGTGCCTACAGGTGTATTTCTGCCACGCATGCTTAAGAGTTGAGAGCATGGGAGTCCCATGTGCATTCATGGGAGTTTGGGGGATGCACCCAAGGATGTGCGGGGGGCAGGGCGCATGTGCGGTGTCATATGTGCATGCGCAGGGTGCGTCCAGAGTTTGCACATGCATGTGGGGTGGGTGCATTTGTGGGGAGCGCGTTGCATTTTTGGGGGTTTGGGCCCCCTTTGGACACTCTGGAAAAGATTAGCCATCACTGTCCTAGGGTGCCTTAAATGCAGACAGTGGCTCACCTGGAGTTTGCAGAATCCACCCATCGAATTAATTTCCCTCCTTTTAATAATTCCAGCCTTGACTTGTTCGTGTCCAGCCAAGATGCCTAAGGCATAACTTTTAATATTTAATTTGAGTGAAGTTGGACTTTGCCCACATTGCAACAAGACCTGAGCGAGCAGAACCAAAAGGCTAGGAATTTCGGACCTTACATAGGAAGAGATTCTTGCAAGATTATCTCTTGGCTGAGAAGAAATCTTGAAAAGTAAGTACCCCCCACTCCCCCCCCCCCACTCCCTTGGGGACTGCTCTGCAATTTCAATAGAAGAGGCAGCCAGGGTGGAATCCTGGTTAAATGTTGGACTAGATGTGGGG